ATCCTGGGGTGGGCTCCACGACTGGCTGCCCGTACCACAGAGGCCAAACCATCTGTGTTTTGTTTCTTTTTTTCCTCAAAGCCTTCATTTGGACAAGTGGTCTTGTGGCCTAGCGGCTAAGACGTTGGCTTTGGAACCCTTGGTGTCCAAAAGGTGCTGAGTTCAACTCCTCCCTGGCTCCTTTGTGCTTCTTTACTTTCTGCGCGAGGCGCCAGGGAGGCAGGAAAGGACTCACTGGACAGCTTGCGAGGCTCCAGGGAGGCAGGAAAGGATCGATTGGACAGCCTGCGAGGCGCCAGGGAGGCACCAGGGAGGCTGGGGTCCACGGTTGGCTGCCCGTAGCGCAGACAAGACCCTGAACCAGGATGCGTGGTCAAGCTTAACTTTTCATTGGCGATCGGCCCGGTTCGCGGCAAATCCTGGGGTGGGCTCCACGGATGGCTGCCTATAGCACAGACAAGCTTCTGGGGTTTAGGGTCAAGCTTCTTGGGTTGAGGGTCTAGCTTCTGGGGTTTGGATCAAGCTTCCAGGATGCGTGGTCAGGCTTAACTTTTCATTGGCGATCGGCCTGGTTCGCGACAAATCCTGGGGTGGGCTCCACGGTTGGCTGCCTGTAGCACAGACAAGCTTCTGGGGTTTAGGGTCAAGCTTCTTGGTTTTAGGGTCTAGCTAGCTTCCAGGATGCGTGGTCAAGCTTAACTTTTCATTGGCGATCGGCCCGGTTCGCGGCAAATCCTGGGGTGGGCTCCACGGTTAGCGGCCCGTAGCGCAGACTCGCTCGTAGCCGAGGATCGCCGCTCGAAAAAGCCGCGCGCTTTTCGTAGCGCGGGATCGCCGATCGCCTTGAAAACGCCGCGCGCTTTTCGTCGCGCGCGATCTTGGGTCAAACCCGCTGTGTTTTGTAGGCTTGTGCTGTGCTGGGATGAGGGAGTCCAAAAGAAGAAGCCATCACCAAGCTAGAAACTAATCCACGAAATTTTGGAGCCTTGAAGATTTTTTTATGGGGCTTCCTTTTAAAAACGCTTCATTTGTGACATTTTTTGGGCAACGTAAAGGGCGTGTAAAGAACTATACGACCAGATCGCAGCATTAGCCTTTAGGAAGAAGAACGCATCACAAAAAGACAGACACCGATTTTGAAAAAAACATAAACCAACTTGGGAGGGAGCAACTTTGTGAATGTGAAAGTGTTATGTCTCGAAGGGAATGGGCTCAGTGGGTGGGTGGGAAATTTACAAAACACTTGTGTGGATATTTGGGGCGACGCCTTTCTCTGAACCCTGAAACCCACTGAACCCTAAACCCTAAACCCTAACCCTAAACCCTAAACCCTAAACCCTAAACCCTAAACAAAAGCGAGCGATGTTGTCCGCGACGCTTAGGAGCTCTGAACATCGCGAGCGCTACCCGCACGCTGAGTGCCGGGCATCGAAAAGAATTGAGATGAAGGAGCCTGACAAGGTGAGCGCAAAGAGTTAGCTTTGTGCTCCGTCCCGCATTTGTATCCTTACATAAAGGGTGCATAGCGCAGTCTGCGCTTATAGTTTATACTAGTATATTTTATTACCCTAAA